GTAACACCTAAACCCTAACCCTAACCCTAAACCCTAGACCCCTAACCCCCAAACCCGTAAACCCTTAAACCCCGAACCACTAAACCCTAAAGTTTTCACACCTAGACCCTAAACCCCAATAACCCTAAAGTCTTAAACTCTAGACCCTAAACCCCTAAACCCTGAAGTCTTAAACCCTAGACCCTAAACCCTAAAGTCTGAAACCCTAGACCCTAAACCCTAAAGTCTTAAACCCTAGACCCTAAACTCCTAAACCCCAAACCCCAAACCCCTGACCCGCCGAAGCCTACACCCTCAAAGGCCGGAAGGCCTACTTGGAGGATCATGGGACTTAGTAAGTAAGGGTTTAGGGTTTAGGGTTTAGGGTTTAGGGTTTAGGGTTTAGGGTTTAGAGACTTAGTAAGTAAGGTTATAAGTGCCCCCAGTTATAACTTAGTCCCATGATCCTCCAAGTAAGCCTTAATTCCAAAGGCCCGAACTCATAGACATAGGGAAGGTTTAGGGGTTTGGGGTGGGGTTTAGTGGTATGGGGGTTCAGAAATAGAATCCGGGTTTTGGAGTTTACCATGCTAGAAATGTATTGGCACTATAAGGGGAGAGTCTCGCGCCTTTTTCGCACCCTATATTACTCCCGGAGCTTCAAACTTGGGGTTTGTCTACGGCCTCAACACTGGGGCTTAGGATTTGGGATTGCTTTTGGAGAACTCTTTTGAGGCTATAGGGGTCCTGTAAGGTCATTTCCAAGGGTTTGAACATTTCCTCAGGGTTTGCAGAGGTTTCGGATTTTGGGTATTGGTCTTTGGCGCTTCGGTTTCTTCAACCTAGCGATCCGGTTTTGGGTTTCTTCTAAGAAGGATCGCGCTCCCATCTCCAAGCCTCTGCTTGACATTGAAGAAAAGAAATTGTACGGTTCAGGGTAGGTAGGGTTTAGGGTTTAGGGTTCAGGGTTTAGGACGGTTCTTAGGGCCCTGAATGCCCTGTGTTGATCTGTAAAGCGCAAGCCCTAAACCCTGAACTGCGTTAAGAATTCCCGTGCAGATCTGTCTCAGCACCACCCCCCGATTGAGCTTCAAGCTTGGTCACGCGCCATAAACCTGCTTCTACTGAAAAGGAGGCAGTTCCTGAAACTTGCCACGTCCCGCAACTGAGGATCGCAAGCAAAGCCAATCAGATCTCAACTTGTATAATCAGACTAATAATAACAATAATAGTAGCAGAGATACTAACACATTAAGAGTTCCAGTGCATTTCCTGGCCTTCTATCACCTCAGGGGCTTGAGTTTAGTGCTTGAAGTCTTAGGGTTACGGCTTCTTGAGGGTTTAGGGTTTGGGGTTCAGGGTTTCGGGTTTAGGGCTGAGGCTTCAGGGTTTCGGGTTTCGGGTTTAGGGTTTAGGGTTCAGGTGTAGGGGTATAGGGTTTAGAGGGTTCATCCCCAAATTTGCTTGGGCCTAGCTCTTAAACCCGGGATTGAGCAAGTTGGGTCTACCCGGCGACCCTTTGTGGAGATAGGCTCCGGGTTTAGGGTTTAGGGTTTAGGGCGAAGCTGCAAGCTATGGGAGCCCATACGCACTTCAAGGCCTGGGGCACTGCCCAGGTCTTGAAAACTTCCAACCCAGCATGCTGGAAACCCAAAGCCCCTTCAAATCGTACACCGCCTTGAACAATAAAACCTTTCAACACCTGAGCCTCGCGTAAGTTTAAGTCCAAAGCCCTTTGAATTTCAACCCCGTTGAGGGCCTCCTTTTAAAAAGAAGCGTCGGATCGACAGGGGACGGCCTTTGGGGCTTTTGGGTCTTAGGGGCTTCTATGGTTGGGAAGGTAGCACGAAAAGTCGCAAAGCGAGGACACCTAAACCCCAAACCCTGGTTTCTCAGCGTTTCAGCCTTCCGGCTGATAATATAGAGACCTTAGTGATCAGAATAGGATTTGGGGTATATTATACTATCTTTATAATAGGGAACCCCCAAAACCCTATTCTACTTACTAAGGCCCCTACATTATGTGTCCAGTTTCTGCACCCAAGAGGCCGGCCCGTCAGAAGTCTCGTGAAGCATTACCACCTCGGCCCCTTCGCGGCCGATTTGGCATTTTCTGGTGCGACATGGCCGGCACTGCCGCGAACTGCGCCCCGCTCACGATTCAGGATGACTCTCTCTATCTACTGGTTCTTATTGTCAAAAAGTACTAGCCAATCGGATAACAACAACAGTTCACAATTGTTAATGATGTTAATAATGATAGCAGCGACAATACTAATAATGACTTCCCCTCCCTCCCCTCCCTTCCCCTCCCCTCCCCTCCCCTCGAATATAGGGGTTTGCATAATTGCGAGTACTATACCTCGGATTTCCTGTTCATCATTAAGACCAACCTTGACGCTTGAATACCACAGCCCCAGGTCTGCAAGCCAAAACCTTGAACCCAAAGCCTAATATAGTGGCCTTAATAATTGGTTTTGAAGCTCCCTTATTATATTTATACCGTAATATATTCCAAACCCTATTCTAATTTTCAAGGCCCCTACATTAAGCCTACAGCCCAAAGCCCAAAGTTGCATCCCGGACTCCTAAGACGTGAACCCTGAAACCTAAGCCTTTGGCCCGAATGAGCTGACTCTCCCCCCAAACCGCAAACACTAAGCCGCTCGAAACAGAGCCCTGACCTCCGATACCTAGTAGGGGTTTAGGGGGTAGGGTTTAGACCCTGAACCCAAATATCCGAACTGCAAGCCTGAAACCATGAACCCCAAAGCCTGAACAGCACTTGGGATCTCGGGATTTCGAAACTGGTGCCACTGTCGAAGGGATAAAGCCCTTAGGGTTTTGGGTTTGTGGAAATTTCTCGGGTTGTAGAGGCACGCAAAGTCTCTGCTCACAACAGGATTCACCTTAAGCCCTACACCTAAATCCTGATCCGTAAACCAACCGCAATCCTCCACCCCGCATCCTTCGGATCTTCAGGATGTTGAATTTTGGGACTTAGGACGTAAGCCCTAAACACTAAACCCTAAAGCCGAAACCTTAAACCGTAACAGTCTGCCAAGATGTAAACACAGGGAGCTGCGTGGATGGCTCTATGGGTAGTTGTCTAAATTAGGGCCCCTTTTTCGGTCCCCAATATACTACGACAGCCTTATGCTGCTGCTGTTCTTATTCTGAACCCCGCCGGTGCGTGGGGGAAAGCATTTGGGTTGTGCTCCTGCATCCGCCAATGCTTGCAGGAAGCATGTGGGCGGTGCTCTTGAATCGTGGCAGTATTTGGGGGCAACGTTTTGTCTGTCTAGGTGGCTTCTTGGGTCTGGTGTTCCCTTGGTGGTCTCTTGATGGTCTCCTCGTGGTTTTCTGGTGGTCGTCGTCGTCGCGCTTGTCTCGGTCGTCGTCGTCGTCATGGTCGTCGTGGTGCTCTACCACCGTTTGGGAATCGATGCTGGCAGAATCGGCTTAGCATTTGGGAATTTGGGTCTTTGAGCTAGCTAGCCCGTGCCACGTCGGTGCTATCAAACCGGGTCTAAATATACTGGGACATATCAACCCATTCTGCTTGTTTCGCGGGGACAGAAACTCCCTGGTACCAAACAGCAGAAACACTGGACCCTGTGCTGCTCCTGAATTGGCTTGGAAATCGACAGCAACAAGTGTAGAGCTCGGCTGCAGAGGAAAGCTAGAAAAAATGTACCATGACAACGATATGCTCTAATCACACTACGGTATCACACGACTAGCAGTACTGCTACTGCTGCCGCTACCACCACCGCCACGACGACGTTTACTACTAGTACTACTAGTACTACTACTACTACTACTACTACTACAACTACTACTACTGCTACTACTGCTACTACTACTACTACTACTACTACTACTACCAATACTACGACGACGACGACGACTACTACCACGAACAACTTTAACAACAGTACCAATAACAATAATAATCATAATGACAGTCGTAAGATTAAACAGTATAATAGTAAGAACAAGTTTGTACAAATCTAGATAGTAACCACACTTTGATGGTACTACTTTTTGTTGCAATCGTAATAAGGATAATGATACGAGACCGGAGCTGGCAACCTCGCCCACAACCAGCGAACTTCGAAGCGCCAACTCCTCCTGATAATGGCCTTAATAGTTCTAACAAAGGGCTTGGGGTATAGTGTACTATAATAACCATAACGTACTATACTATGTTATAATATACTATAAGACACTATACTTACATAGGGACAATACGCGGACACTCTTTCAAACCCTTCGGACCCTCATATTTATCGCTTGACTCTTCCACGGGAGCGCCGGCAAAGGCGACCGGCGGGGCTGCCAGGAAAAACCCCAGACTTGCCTTCGGTAGGCCTTCCTGTCCGTTTGGGAGCCTCAACCATCAGAATAGGGTTTCGGGATATTACAGTGCAGTTCTAATAAGGTAACCCTGAGGAATGCCTAAGGAATAGCAAGCCCTAAAGCCTACGTCATTGTTCAGGCTTCATGTCGCGGGCTCTTGGGCGTAGTGGGAGGCCCGGAAAGCTCGAAAAATCATGGATCTGATGGGTGCGGCTTGCAGGCAGAGCTCAGAAGCTGCAACCATCCCAAAGATGTCCGGTTTAGGGCTCAGGGCTAACAGTTTAGGGGTGAACATAGCGCCGGGCTGGGAGGGATCAGAGTTGTCTTCAAGAGTGAAAGATTATGGTTCAGATTACAGCTTTAAGGCTTAATGGCAGCCTCGAGTTAAATCCTAAACCCTAACTTCTTAGGGTTTCGAAGCTCGACCGCGCTTCTACGGTTCAGAGCTTCCACATCTTTCTAGGAAGTAAGGCTATAATATACTATAATCCTTCATGGTTTACCAAAATATACCATGATGTACCCTAGTTTGCCACAATATACTAACACATAACTTAACATACTGTACTAAACCCTAACCCTAAACCCTGACCCTAAACCCTGAACCTTAAACCGTTAGCAGACCCATGGGAACTCTGAGGCCTAGCCGCCTAGCCTCCTCACTCGAGATGCGAGGACAACTCCTCGTCTCCGGATTGCTTTTGGCGACCTCCGCATCTCAGAAGTTTTTTGTGCCGATCAACCTCAACCCCTCAATGCTAAACCTTTAAGGTTTAGGGGTTTAGGGTTTAGGGGTTTAAAGGTTTAGGGGTTTAAGGGTTTAGGGTTTAGGGGTTTTAGGTTTTGGGCCGAAACCTGAAACCGAAGACCGTCTATCCAGCCCTAAACCTTACGCCCCACAATGTAGCCCCTGATCAATACCGCCCCCTCCCCTGAACAGGCAGAGCATCAGGAATCGTAGGCCCTGAAGGAAACAGGGTTTGTTAATCTGTGTGCTACATTACCCTAAATCCCGAACCCTCGATCTTAAACCTTACCCCCTAAACCGTAAATCCTCCAGCCTAAACCTCAAACCCTACACCCTGAAACCTAACGTGTGTAAACCTTGAACCATAAATCCTAAGCCCAAAAGCCTGAACCCTACACCCAAAAGCCTGAGCCTTAAACCTTACCCGCAAAGCTCAGGAGGACTTTGATGGTCCAAGCTTGTGCTACGTGGTCGAAGACGGACCGCGTGCATGTCATCATATATTATTCTCACTATTAAGACTCCTACTATTGTTATTCTTGTGATTTATTACTATTATTAAGCCTAAATCCCCAAAGCCTAAACCCTAACCTCTAGACTCTAGGCCTTAAACTTTGCCGAGAGAACTGATGTATTAGGGGTGGCCTCAATTAAAAGAAAAAGGTCCTACAGGGTTTTATAGGGTGTTCATAGGGGGCTGTCTCTGGTTTCACAACTACATCACATACTTGGGGTGGCCGTGATCGTCCAGGTGGGGGTCGAAACAGTCTCACAGGATTTTGTACAGACTTTATAGGACTTCTATCTGTTAAAAATCCCTAAACCCTATTTGTTTTGGCATGGATACAGCTACCTTCTCAGGACCACTGAGCGCCGCGCTGAGGTCAAAGGCCAGGCTTTTATTGCTCCTGCAGGCGCAAGAGGGCTCCAATACGGTCACCAGTCTTGTATAGATTTCAAGAACCCTAAACCCTAAACCCCAACACCACAACACCAAAACCCTAAACCCTAAACCCCAACACCACAACACCAAAACCCTAAACCCTAAACCCTAAACCACAAGACCATAAACGCGTACGCGTCACGGTTCCGAAGGAGGGCCTCTTCTCAGCCTTGAGATCTTCTCGGGGTCCCTAAGCGGCTCCTATTTAAGGGATCGGTAAGGGCTGCAGGGGATCTGTAAGGGCTACTATAAGGGTTCCTTCAAGAGTACGAAGGTAGGATCGGGACCGGATGAAGTGGAGGCCTTTATCCTCAGAACATAAATAAATAAATATAAACACATTAATATCAATAAATGAGTATAAATAAATAAATATAAATAAATAAATATAAACACATTCATTTCAATAAATGAATATAAATATATAAAAATAAACAAATGCATATAAATAATACATATATATTTATATATTGATGTTGAATGGTATGATTCGGTATAGATATGATAGGAAACCCTCGGGAACAATATTGCTGACTACTTCTGCTTGTGCATATCGTAGGAGGCCATGCAAGCGATGGAGGCTCGAGGCTTCCAGTCCATTAGTCGTTATTTGCAGCATAGATACATGGAGTGTATGTATATATGTATGTATGTATATATATATATATATACATATTCATAGATAGATAGAGTGTTTATCGTAGATGTGTAAAACGAATATAGATCGAGTATATACAGTTTATGTTTCCAGTATCAGTTATGCGCAAGCTCTCTGACTCCCGACCCGAGTAACGTCTCTGCTTTACCGGCACCGAAGCATCATCTCATCTCCAGCTTCTACTCCTCCTCCTCCTCCTCTTACCAGTCGTCGTCTTCCTTACTATAGTCATGCACGAGGCGCAGGACATGTGGCTGTGGAATTGACAGTGGCAGCAACAGCCCAGTCATCCGAGGCCTCTGGTCTCGGGCAGGACTTTAAGGGCTGAGCCTCTACCGTAAGACGGTAGAGATTTTAGGTTTCGAAGTCCCGAATACCTCGTCCTCAAAGCCAATTCAGAAAGCCCTAAGCCCTAAACCCCTAACCCCTAAACCCTAAACCCTGAGCCTCTGGGTTCAATGGTTTAGGGTTTTGGTCCTCTGCGACACCCGGCCGCTGGGAGACACGTCGGCGCTGCTATTTCCCCTGGTGCGAAGGTGGAGGTTTAGGGTTTAGGGTTTAGGGTTTAGGGTTTAGGGTTTAGTAACCCCTCCAGACGGAAATCGTCGAACAAGGGGCTGTCACTCTCGGTCGACGATTCGGTTTACAGGGTTGAGCCGTTGAGGTGTTGGATTTAAGCTTTCTCGGGCTCAGTGAAATCCATAGTATGTAAGGTTCTAAGCCTTCTAGGCAAAGAGCTTCATGGAGCTATGAGTACTCACATTCCTAATTCAGGCACGCGTAACCTGCGTGACAGCTACTGATGACCATCGAAGGAGGCTTTAGCATCCCTGCATGATCGACGAAGATCACACTGGTCGAAACCTGGCGACCTTCAAGGTGCAGAGGTCCCAAATCCTCGAAGGTGTCTTGTGGGTAGTTGTCAAAATTAGGATCCCTTTTGGGGTACCCTAAATAATAGGTGCCGTATTATAATAAGGACCCAAAAAGGGACCCCAATTTTTGACAACCACCCATGTGACTCTTGCAACTTCAACAGAAGCACTTTGAAGGCATTGTGGTCAAAAACCCTGTCTCTGCACAGTTTACATTTAGCAGGAAGATCAGCAGCAAGGCCCCAACTAAATACATCTCTAAACACCCTACATCTGCCGACCGCCTTCAGCCTTTCTGGGAGCCCTTAGAGGTAGGATCCTCCGAAACTCACCCTAAACATCCCTAAACCCTAAAGCCTAAACCCTAAACCCCTAAACCCTAAACCCCTAAACCCTAAACCCGAAACACCTAAACCCCTAAACCCCTTAAACCCCTAAACCCCTAAACCCTTTTATCATCCCCGCCTGTCGCCTTCCGACTCCTCGTCGTCAGACTGAGCCTCTGTCCTCTCGAGAGCTCGGGGCTCGGAAACGCGGCTTCAAGAGGTAACTACGGTTTAGGGTTTAGGGGTTTGGGTTTAGGGTTTAGGGTTTAGGGGTTTAGGGGTTTAGGGGTTTAGGGGTTTAGGGTTTAGGTGTTAGGGTTTAGGGTTAACTATGGCTCTAATTCTATGACGGTTTCCTACTGTAAGGGCTCGAACTCCTACTGTAAGGGCTCGAACTCTGTGGGCTCTATAACCCAGAGAGCCCAATACCCCTTAATTAAGGAATATACTTAAATCATAATATTATTGGGCTTTCTGGGAAGGGTGTTATCTACGATTACTGCTGCATCCGAGCTGAGGGCAGAGCTAAACCTAACAAGTCCACATCATCTAGAACCCTAAACCCTAAACCCTAAACCCTAAACCCCCGTGCACTGATGTGAGCCGAGTGGTTAATACAGCGGCCTTAATACTTTGAACAGATTCGGGGATTCTGAAATACGGGACCCTAATATAGTACCCTAAATAGTAGGATCCTTTTTTTTGTAAGGACCCCAAAACATCCCACAATAAGGTACCCTCTTTTCGGAAACTCCCAGAGTTGTGTCGCAGATTTTAACCCGAATCTTTGTTATTGAACCCTAAGTTCAGGGTTTAGGGTTTAGGCTTTAGGGTTTGAGGCTTAGGCTTTAGGGGGATTCAAATATAGGGGGCCTTTATAGTTGGAACAGGCTTTTGGGGCTATACTATATGGGTAGTTGTCAAAATTAGGGTTCCTTTTCGGGGTACCCTAATTAATAGGTGCCGTATTATAATAAGGACCCAAAAAGGGACCCTAATTTTGACAACCACCCATATTTATAATAAGGAGCCCCCAAACTAATGTTGGTAACTATTCAGGTCCCAAGATTTTCGCACCCCACTTCAAAAGGAGACTGAAACCCAGAGAAACCCCGATGGGCTCGCAGCAGCCTGAGAGAATCAGATCCGACATGATCGGGTTTAAGGTTTAGGGGTTTAGAGTTTAGGGGTGTCGGGTTTAGGGAGTTGCTTCCCCCATTCCCGCCTGAACTGCAGCTTGTTTCGGAAGATGCCTTGAAGCGCCGAGGAAACCTCCAAGGACTCATGTTGGCACAGCACTGGTAGATATTGTAGTTATCTGAAACAGGCGCATTCGCAGCCGCAGTCATCGATATGCTGCTAAGGTTGCCGCGAACAGCTCTGGTACCGATAGTTAGCGAGGCGAGGCAATGCTTTTACCAAAAGAAGTGCTGGCGACAATAATGGTACACGTGTTGACATGCATACTCGTGAACATCGTGATGGGCACAGTCACCAAGAGGTACATAAAAGCCGACAGCAATCAGAACTAGTGCACATTTGGGCAAAAACGGAATGCTTAAGATTATCGTCACTGTTACTAGTATAACAAGGTATTGTTTCCTTTAGATGTCAAAGCTTGGTATCATCTGCCCTGGCCAGAAAATCTGCAACATTGGAGGACATGCGGGCCGCGAAAAGTTCATTCTATGGTATACTATCATATCTTGTACTATAGTATACTATGCTATACTGTACTCTACTGTAATAAAATGTACTGTACCATAGAATCCTATGGGTGCAATCTACATATTCACTGCCGGACAATTCTTCTCAGAGGTCTCATGCCTCCTCAACAGAAGAGAACCTGCGTTGCAGGTGAATTCCGCCAGCAAACACCGATCGATGAAAGTCAACGCAAAGCAGGAAACCCTAAACCCCTAAACCCTGAACAGTAATCCAGCAACAGTAGCCCTAAACCCTAAACCCCAAACCCTAAAAAAGCCAACGCCTCGAAGGCCCCTCATGAACACCCTACGCAAGACTATGGAAACCCTGTCAGGAACCTCCTAGGAGCAGCTGCCCCCAATGCCCGAAACAACCCAAGCACTTTATAGAAGTGGTTCAGGGTTTAGGGTTTTTTGCAGTGCCTCATAGAGCCTTCCTGGCACACTTATGGAAGCCCATAGAGCCCTCAAAGAACCCTCATGGAAGTCTCAACGAGCCCGAAAGCGGCCTCGGTGTTGTCTTTGACTAGGCCTGGCATTCCGGACTGCAAGGCTTCAGGGTTTTAGGGCTTTAGGGGTTTACGGGTTTAGGAACTAAGGTTTTAGGATTTAGGGGTTTTCGGTGTTAAGGGGTTTTAGGTGTTTAGGTGTTTTAGGATTTAGGGGTTTTAGGGGTTTTCGGTGTTCAGGGTTTTTTTGGGTTTAGGGGTTTTAGGGGTTTTAGGGGTTTTAGGGGTTTTCGGTGTTTAGGGGTTTCAGGGGTTTAGCAGGGGTTTAGGGGTTTGGGGTTTAGGCTTTGGCTTTCGGGTACAGGGGTTTAGGGTTTAGGGTGGCTGTGTCAATAGATTGTCACGTTGAGACCTTGGCTGGGCCGTAACTTCTTACCTCAAGAACCGTAAAGCCTTCATCCTAAGCCTGTACTCCAACTCCTCAGCCTTCGACCCTGAACCCACACCCGAAGCCCTAAACTCTGAACCCGATCCCGGTTTAGGGTTTTAGGGTTCAGGGTTTAACCTAGACCTTTACATCCATAGACCTCCGAATCCCCCTGAAAAGATGCCAACAAAACTTCTTAGCAGCCTTAGGGAACCCTCTAACCTAAGCTTCTAAGCCCTAAACCCCTAAACCCCTAAACCCCAAGCTCCTTTGTTAACAACCTTACGAAACCCTCTAAGACCCTAAGCTTCTAAACCCTAAACCCCTAAACCCCTAAACCCTTAAACCCTAAACCCTAAACCCTAAACCCTGAACCCCAAGCTCCTTTGTTAACAACCTTACGAAACCCTGTAAGAAGCATGCAGGCCTGAGACCTGAGGCCCTTCAGGGTTTAGGGTTTTAGGGTTTTGGGTTTAGTGTTTTAGGGATTAGGGGTTTAGTGTGTTAGGGTTTAGGGTTTAGGGTTTTAGGGTTTAGGGTTTAGTGTTTTAGGTTGTAGTGTTTAGGGTTTTAGGGTCACGGGTTTAGGCATCAAGCGTGATGGGCAGTGTCACAACGCTTATTCTCGGGAGTGTCCTGCCAGGCTGCAGTAGCCAGAGCCAGGGCAAACGAAGCTGAATGCAGGACCCATTCCAGCGCCGGGCAAACTTCTTGGAGCCGCGCAACCACCGCTGCATCGCTGTTTTGTCTAAACTGATCGCCATGCTGCCATGCATGTCGCGGAATGTGATCCCAGCCTTAGAAATTGGAAGAAGAACCGCATATAGGAGTGCAGTCTTGCAAGAGAGAGGCAGTCCAACCCAAAGAAAAGCAGAGAAACACGGCTCCACGGCCTTGCGTATCATCTGACGATCGTCTGCCGGCGCCCCAGTAAGGGTTTAGGGTTTTTAGGTGTTTAGGGGTGTAGGGTTTAGTGCTTTAGTGCTTTAGTGCTTTAGGGGTTTAGGGGTTTAGGGTTCAGCGTTTAGGGGTTTAGGGGGTGTAGGGTTTTAGGGTGTAGGGCCCATGGACCCCACTATAAATCCACAACCCGATCTGAATCCTCAAACCTTTGACTCGAAACCTGACCCCCTTCAAACTACTCAAAACGCTTCCGGGCACGACCAACAGACATCAAACCTTGAACCCTAAACCTCTAAACCTCTAAACCCTAAACCTCTAAACCCTAAACCTCTAAACCCTAAACCTCTAAACCCTAAACCTCTAAACCCTAAACCTCCAAACCCTAAACCCTGAACCTCTAAACCCTAAACACTGAATCCGGAAGCCTAAAGGGTCCTTCGGACCATCATTAAAAAAACTCATCTTTCATAGCCCGTTCGGGTTTTATAGGACAACGAACTCGAAGCATGGTTCCTACGGAAAGCTCTAAAACCCTAAGCCCCTGAGCACCTAAATAAACCCTACAAGCGACCTGCACCCCAAACCCTACTTGGAGGATCATGGGACTTAGTCAGTAAGCTTATAAGTACCCTAACTGGGGTTATAATTATAGTTACCTGATTTATCACCCTAGTTACGAAGTCCCATGATCCTCCAAGTAAACTCTAAACCCTAAACCCTAAAACCCTGAACCCTAAAACCCTAAAACCCTAAACCTTACTTACTAAGTCCCATGATCCTTTAAGTAAGCCCTTCAACTTGAACCCCTGAGGGGCCTTAACCACCCCAAACCGGAGCCTGCCATCTGCTTTTGGATCTCAACCAGGTTGAAGCGAGCTCGAGAGCATCCCCGGATGGCATTCTGAATGCGCTGGCGATGAACCTTCCAAGCTTTTGACGATTTAGGGTTTAACCCTCAACCCTAAACCCTAGGGTTTAGGGTTGTTTTCCCTGAACCCTACACCCCTAAACGCTGGGGTTTAGGAAATTTTCCCTGAACCCTAACACTAGGGTTTCGGGCTTAGGTAATTTGGCTTTGAGAACTTCGGGGTTCCAGGTGTAAGGGCTCTAAGGGTTCAGGGGTTGAGGGGTTTCAGGGGTTTAGGGCTTGGGGGATTTAGGGGTTTAGGGTTTGGGGGATTTAGGGTTTAGGGTTTAGGGTTTGGGGGATTTAGGGTTTAGGGTTTGGGGGATTTAGGGTTTAGGGTTTGGGGGATTTAAGATTTGGGGGATTTAGGGGTTCGAGGCTTAAAGGTTTAGGGGTTTTGGGGAGGACCCCAGGTTTCAGGGCGGAGGGGCCGGAACCAAAGGCTTCAATTCCAACCCAAGGGTGGCCTTAGTAATTAGAATAGGGTTTTGGGGGTTCCTTATTATAGTTATAGTATAATATATCCCCAAGCACTATTCTAATTATTAAGGCCCCTATAGTAGGGTTCAGGGCTTAGGGCTCATGGTTTAGTATAGGATCTGCGAAGGACTGTGTCCCTGTCGGAATCCTCTGCTTCGTCACGAAAGAACGTTTTCGTTGCCCTGCCTCTGACCAGTGGCCAAGCGACGGACGGATGCGTCATGACCGATAGGCTCGCAAAGAACGACGACTGGCTGTGCCACGCCTATGTCGCCAAAAGCACCGACATACTTCGTGACGATTGTCTCTCGTGTGTCTGTAGAGCCAACATACACGGAGCGAGTGCGCGTGCCAGTGGGTCAATTGCCAATGACAACTGTGATGGCCATACCTGCCATACCTTTGTCGTCGGTGTCTGCGTCGGGACGCTCCAACTGTAACGGTTGTAACGTAGCACAGCCTCCAAGTCCGTTTTCTGAGACTGTCGTGGTGCTGAGCAATCGAAAGAGAAACCCTTTCCCGGGGTCGGTGCACTGGTCAAGAAAGAGCTTCATCAAAGTAGTCTGCTCAGTACTTAGCATCGCTTGCCTCGTGTGTATAAAACTCCAGCATGTCCACCTGCTCCCCCGGTCTGATTTGTAGGCCCTGTCTACCTATCTACCTGTCTGTCTAGCTCTTCTTCCGTCTATCTACCTACCGACCCACTCACTCATCCATCCATATATCTCAGAAAAATATGTGTATATCCATATATGCACATACATACATACATACATACATACATACATACATACATACATACATACATACAAACAAACATACATACACACGTACATACATACATGCTTACATACATGCATGCATACATACATACATACATACATACATACACACATACATACACACACACATACGCATGCATGCATGCATGCATGCATACAGCAGTATCTGTCTCTTAAACACATGTCTGTCCCTCAATCTCTCTCTCCTGGACTCTATTTATACCGCAAACATGTATACACAAGTAGAGCGGTAGGTATGGGCATCTGCATAGGTATAGGTACTGCTAAAATATATCGTTGTTTGCTTTCATTCGGTTGTTGGCAATAACGAGTCATGGTTCTGGGTTTACGAACCCCTATAGAAACCCCGATGGAAATTCCTTGAACTCTTCAAGGAGCCTTTTATAGTATAGAAACCTGTGCAGAAACTTGATACAAGTTGGGTAGAGCTCCTTCAAACACTTGTTGAAGGACGCCTTTCAAGGAGCCTACATGGCCCTACCACCAAAACCCGCATGGCTTCGATTGGACTTGCAGGGTCAGGTCAAAAGTTTAGGGTTTAGGGTGTAGACTGGGGTAGTATAAGATGATGCTTGTCTTCAGAGTCCCTTGAAGGGCTCATTTACGGGGTGTATAGGGGGGTTGCTAGAAGGGAAACTTTTAGGGCTACTTCCCTACTTGGAGGATCATGGGACTTAGTAACTTAAGGTAACTATAGTTATAACCCCAATTAGGGTACTTATAACCTTGCTTACTAAGCCCCATGATCCTCGAAGTACAGCAAGGTTTCAGGGGGCTGTCGGGTTCAGGTTTCAGACTTTTGGGCCTGCGGGGTTGCACGGCTGAGTGCTGAAGGTCCGATATGGGGGTTGAAGATTTTAGTGTTTAGGGTTTAGGGTTCGGAGTTTAGGGCCTCTAGGGTTTAGGGTATCTGGGATCCTAGGTGCAGTTTACACTGAAATTCCCTCTCTTCCCTGCCTCCAGATTCCGGTGCTCTTGCTCCCGCATCCCGATATGGGATTCGTACCTTCCCCGCTCACATGAAACTTTACAACGAAACTGACCTCGTGGCGTATTTTTAGGGTTTAGGGTTTAGGGTTTAGGGGTTTAGGGTTTAGGGTCTTTTTGAAACTGCCAGTGATCGACCAGGTGCGCGTTTGAAACGTTATATGCGGTCTTGGACAGTCCGCAATGCTTTGAAAGGCTTTCACGGGCTTGCTCATCCCACTGCAGTGAAGCAGAAACAACGTCCACGTGTAGAATTTCATTCGATTTCAGGTTGGGGGTTTACAGCTCCGTGGTCCGAACAGCGTATGCTGTGGTAGTCTTAAACATATATGTTCAAATGTACATGTTTTCGCATGCTCGGCCAGAATGCCAATATTCAGAACCTACATGCTAGTGACAGTGTTGGTACTGTTATCAGGGCAAGGACGAACTGAACGGACAGCACCCACCGAATATCAGTACAAAAACACTGCAACAGCCCGACAACAAACCAGACAGGCTCCAGGTGTAATCTACAGCCTTAATTGCCAGAGTTACATGAAACACTCGGCACACGAAGCAGCAGCTGCATCAGCGGCAGCGGCAGCGGCAGCGGCAGCGGCAGCAGCAGCAGCAGCAGCAGCAGCAGCGGCAGCGGCAGCAGCAGCAACGACAACAGCACCGACGACCACACAAAGAGGCATATTCGCTGTCACTAACCACGACACTGCCGCCCAAGCCTCATCCCAACCAAAACCATTTCCTGAAGCCGTGAAACCTAAGCCTCACACGAAGCTAGGGAAGGGTTTGTTTGGCCGGGCGTCGGTGACACGCCCAGGATCAGCTCGCGCTTTTGTTCCTGGGAAGTCGTAAAGCATGGTCATGGTAACAGACTAAGGGTTTAGGGTTTAGGGTTTAGGGTTTGGGTAAAAGTACAGATTTGAGGCAGGAGGTTCAGGGTTTAGTGTTCACGCGCTGATTTTGTCATCGTGCTGTAGTCTCAGTTCTTTCCAGTGATACCAGCTCTTGTAGGCTTAACTTCACTTGGGTTTAAGGCATTGCAAGGGCTCAGGGCTAGAAGTAGCTACGCTAGAAGTAGCTACCACCTCAATTCGGGTTAGAAGTAACTACCACCATAGGCATCTTACTTTTGACCTTACTTACCAAGCACCATGATGCTTCCCGTGCGCTGTTCCATCGCCGACCCCGTTTCGCTTCTAAAGCTAAATTACTTATAAAGGATCATGGGACTTAGTAACTAGGGTTATAAATCAGGTAACTGTAATTATAACCCCAACTAGGGTACTTATAACCTTACTTACTAAGTCCCATGATCCTCCAAGTAGTTGGCCGCACTGACGTACCGGGTTTTAGAGCGGAGCTGGTTCAGGCTTTTGCCTAGAATAGCAATCGGGTTCCCGTGGGTGCCCCTGAACCCTGAACTTTAGACCCTAAAAAACCGCCCCAACCCTAAAAACCCACCTAAACTCCAAACCCTAAACTACAAAACGTAGGAAACTCACGGCCCAGGGAGCTTGGGTCTATGTGTTTTGCATGGCATTGGCAGGGGTTTCCTTTGCCGGTGCCTCCCGACATGTATATGAACGGTTAAGGGCTTAAGGTTTAGGGTCTTGGGTTTAGGGGTGACATCCCGCCCTGTACCATGCTATTGTAAACGAGCAAGTGCAAAGAGCATTGTATGTAGTATATGGTATGCTATATATCATACATAGTAGATAGTATATGGTTTATCGTACGTTGCATATGGGTAGTTGTCAAAATTATGGTCCCTTTTGGGGTACCCTAAATAATAGGTGCCGTATTATAATAAGGACCCAACAAGGGACCATAATTTTGACAACCACCCATATAGTACATAGCTGATAACGGTACATACACCCTAAACCCTAAACCCTAAACCCTAAACCCTAAACCGGCATTTCGGCAGCTTCGCCGAGGAAGGGTCCGCTTTGATCCCTTGCCGATCTTCCCGAAACTGTTTCCTGCGGAAGAAAGCAGGCCCTAAACCCTAAACCCTAAACCTTAAACCCTAAACCCTAAACCCCAAACCCTAAAGGCTTTGATGGTTCCGGACTTGCGGAGAAATGCAAGGGGAGCTGCAGTCTAGACTTAGCTGGTCTTTGTTGGGGTAACGTGGTCGTTTTAAAATCCATATTGGACTTTGTTATAACAAATCCTAGGGTCCTAGGGACCCTGCAAAAAAAGTAGGTTTTGCTAGGAAAAAGTAGAGACTCCCAAAACCACTGGATTACGCAACCTACACCAAAATCATAGAGAAATGTACAGTTGCGGTGACATTCCCTTTAAACCCTAAAAGCCCTAAACCCCAAACGCTCCAAACCTAAAGCGCTAAACCCTAAACCCTGAGTCCTCTTGATATAAGGGCCTGAACAATTACCCTATATGCTTTTTGGTGTTCCTTATTATATTCCTAGTATACCAAACCCCAAACCCCTATTCTGATTATTGAGGTCCGACAGCCAAAACAATGTAGGGGCCAAAGTAATTGGAATAAGGTTTTGGGGTCTACTATACTGTAACTATTGGGTCAAGAACCCCACAAGAGTATTATAGGTAATTATTAAGGCCCCTAAAGTAAGAGTCTTGCTGCCAGGGGCCAATGTCTTGGGGTTGCGGTTCTGGGCCTCTTCCCCAGGCCTAGTGATATTCCGTGTTGTGTTCTCTCACAGTCGCGTCATCAGCCAGAACACATACCGGTACACAAACTCAAGCTTCGAGATAAGGCCTACGCTCCACATCAAGGGTGTGGGGATTTGGGAACAAGGTTCAGGGCTTCAGGATCTAAGGGTCAGGATTTTCAGGCTAAGTGTTCTGGGCGTTTGGGGTTTACAGTCTTGGGTTTCGGGTTACTGTAAATCCCTGGATAAACACAAGTCCCCTTCTTCTGATAAAGGAATGAAGCGGGTCACTCTCGTGCGCCGTCCCGCACGGCCTTCGACCCTTCTGCAGCAGTGCTCTGAGAAGGTAATCCAATCGGATCTGTGATCTCATCCCCTGATTAAATGTCTCCACTTGGAACCGAGCATGAGCTGGCGAAGACACAAAAATTAAAACTGAAGGAGAAATCTTCGAATCCCTGACAAAAAAAGGCTTAAAATTTCAACCAATGCATGCATACGAACAGCACTTTATGATATTGGGACTTCAACCATTCGAATAGGGTTTTAGAGGTATATGATACTGTAATAAATAAATGGCTGCATATCTGAACCTATCCTTATCTATCCATACAATAAGAAACACCAAACATTCAACAATTAGGATGATGATATGAGTACTACTACTACTACTACTACTACCACCACGACCACCACCACCACGACGACGACTACGACGACGACAGTAACAGGAGTAATAACAACAAAGCTGACGATAATAGCAACAGTGATAATAGTAGTAACGATAATATTAATAATCATAAGAATAATAGTTACTACTACTACGACGACGGCTACTACTACTGCT